AACTCCTTTTCTGTGCAATCTATTGTAATTCCTCTTTATCCAGTTCTTTAAAACAGTGTTATTTTTCTAATCTGCATTTCTCAGTCTTGTTTCCCTTTATGACGATGGCAAATGCTTTACTTAAATGCAAATAAATTAGATCTATTGCATACCTTTTGTCTAAAATCCAATTTAATTAAAGAAAGAGACTTGGCTAAGCACAGAATTACATACTGTAACTTAACAAGGCTTGGAGTTTGTTCAACATTGATTCCAGTTCTGTGCCACATGCTGTGCTGTTTTTCTTATTTTGGGTCATTTTCTTCTAATCCACCACTGTTTCCCTGTCTTTGCATCTTCACTGCTCACTGAAACACTCATTCAATCTCCGAAAAGTTCATTAGCATCTTCATTCACACCTGGAGACCCAGATCTCCTGAACTTAAATGACCTTTGCAGCTCAAGGCTAGCAGTTTTACATCTGTTTTGACCTCCTGCCACAAACTGTGCTTAAAGTAACATGACCAGACATCAAGCTCTTTTCTCTTAGTTCTAAGTTTCTTCCTGGGTACCATTACTGTCATCTGCCCTGCAAAGTCTCATGAGGACTTCTTGCCCATCTGTACTGTTTTTGCACAACTCTCCTGTCCTTTTCATCCTTTCTTCTTCATTCTCCTATATAGACATAGTCAACCAACTACCAGTCAACTCCTATTGCTGTGCACTGACCACCACATGGGATTTCTCTGTGTTGCTCCATATCCTGATACCTACCCTGTTCTTGTTTGATCATTGGGTGGCTGTCCTCAAGCTTGTTCTCCTGAGTCACTCAGAAGTGAGCCAGAGTTGGTTCTGCTCTTTGCTAACAAGAAAGAAGTGATTGGTGATGTGTTAATAAACAGTGGCAGCCTTGGCCGTAGCAACCATGAAATAGTGGAGTTCAAGAGTAGCAGAGTGCACACCCTGGACGATGAACAAATGGTGCATGACCAACCTGATTGTCTTCTATAATAAGATGACCGAGTTTCAGGAAGAGAGAGCAGCAGATCCCATGTGGCTTTAGCAATGTTTTCAACGCTGGTCCGCATAATATCTTTGTATCCAAATTGGGACATTATAGTCTTGGAGAGGGTGAACAAGCAATTGTATAAAAAGCTGGTTGGATGATTGGACTTAGGACCCATTAGTGGCTAATGGGTCGTGCTCTACCTGAAGTCCAGTGACAAGTGGAGTGTCACAGGGATCTGCCCTGGTACCTGTTTTGTTTAGCACCTTTATCCATAACCTGGAAGAGGCAACAGAGTGCTTGTTCATAAAATGTGCAGATGACACCTATCAGGAGGGACCAGTCAATATGGTCCAGGGAGCAGCTCTTGTATGCACTGAGGAGCAGCTCTGCTGCAAAGGAATTGGGGCCCTGGTGGACAGCGAGCTGAGCATGAGCCAGCAGCGTGTCCTGGAAGCCTAGGTGACTACGAGTGTTCTGGGCTGTGGAGCACAGCCAGGAGCCTGAAGACAGCAGTTATCCTTCCTCACACAGTCTTCATTAGCTCACATCTACAACACTGTGTCCAGTTTTGGGGCTGCAGGCACAAGGAAGACATTGACTGAAGCTGGGTCAGCAGAGGAAGATGATCAGAGGGCTGGAGTGGCACCAGCACTATGAGGAGAAGCTGAGTGAGCCAAGCTTGTTCATCCTGGAGAAAGGAAAGCTTTGAGGAGACCTAGTAACAGCCTGCTTGTTGTCAAGGAGCTAAGGCCAGGCTCTTTGCAGTGATGCATGGCAGGAGAATGGGAGGCATTGGCATAAATTGAAACACAGAAGGAGCTGACTGGATATAAGGAGAAGTACAGTTAAGTGTTGGAACCCGGAGAAGCTTTGGGACCCCCCCTCCTTGGATGTTTTCAGGAGCTAGCTAGATAAACACCTGAGCAACTGACCTCATCATTGACCCTGCTTTGAGCAGCAGGTTGGACTTGAGCCTCCAAAGGTTCCTTCCAGTCTACATTATCCTGTGACCCAACTTCTGTGCTGTAGAGCATGTGTAGCAAAACTGTCTGGAGTATGTTGCTTTTGTATACTATGTGGCACCCTGCTCTTGAACTGCGTGCGTGCTTCAGAAGGCTGGCTCGGCTCAGAGGTTCCTGCCAGGGAACATGCAGGAACTACTGAACTGTGTTTACTGGAGCTCTAAGAGT